CAAGAGTATTGAAGGAACTAGCGGAAGTCATTTCGGAACCATTGGCAATCATCTTTGAGAGTTCTTGGAGAACGGGAGAAGTTCCAGCAGATTGGAGGAGGGCCAATGTGGTCCCAATCTTCAAGAAGGGAAAAAAGGATGACCCAAACAACTACCGTCCGGTCAGCCTCACGTCGATACCAGGCAAGATTCTGGAAAAAATTATTAAGGAAGTGGTCTGCAAACACTTAGAAACAAATGCGGTCATTGCTAATAGTCAACATGGATTTATCAAAAACAAGTCATGCCAGACTAATCTGATCTCTTTTTTTGATAGAGTTACAAGCTGGGTAGATGCGGGGAATGCCGTGGATGTAGCGTACCTGGATTTCAGTAAGGCCTTCGACAAGGTCCCCCATGACCTTCTGGCAAGGAAACTAGTCCAATGTGGGCTAGGCAAAACTACGGTGAGGTGGATCTGTAATTGGTTAAATTGACGAACCCAGAGGGTGCTCACCAATGCTTCCTCTTCATCCTGGAAAGAAGTGACAAGTGGAGTGCCGCAGGGTTCTGTCCTGGGCCCGGTCCTGTTCAACATCTTTATTAATGACCTAGATGAAGGGCTAGAAGGCATGATCATCAAGTTTGCAGACGACACCAAATTGGGAGGGATAGCCAATACTCCAGAGGACAGGAGAAGGATTCAAAACGATCTTGACAGATTAGAGAGATGGGCCAAAACTAACAAAATGAAGTTCAACAGTGACAAATGCAAGATACTCCACTTAGGCAGAAAAAACGAAATGCAAAGATACAGAATGTGGGACGATTGGCTTGAGAGCAGTACGTGTGAAAACGATCTTGGACAATATGTTAGACATGAGCCAACAATGTGATGTGGTGGCAAAAAAAGCCAATGGGATTTTGGCCTGCATCAATAGGAGCATAGTGTCTAGATCTAGGAAGTCATGCTACCCCCCCTCTATTCTTTGGTTAGACCACACCTGGAATATTGTGTCCAATTCTGGGCACCACAATTCAAGAGAGATATTGACAAGCTGGAATGTGTCCAGAGGAGGGCAACTAAAATGATCAAGGGTCTGGAGAACAAGCCCTATGAGGAGCGGCTTAAGGAGCTGGGCATGTTTAGCCTGAAGAAGAGAAGGCTGAGAGGAGACATGATAGCCATGTATAAATATGTGAGAGGAAGCCACAGGGAGGAGGGAGCAAGCTTGTTTTCTGCTTCCCTGAAACTAGGACACGAAACAATGGCTTCAAACTACAAGAGAGGAGATTCCATCTGAACATGAGGAAGAACTTCCTGAGAGCCGTTCAGCAGTGGAACTCTCTGCCCCGGAGTGTGGTGGAGGCTCCTTCTTTGGAAGCTTTTAAACAGAGGCTGGATGGCCATCTGTCAGAGGTGATTTGAATGCAATATTCCTGCTTCTTGGCAGAATGGGGTTGGACTGGATGGCCCATGAGGTCTCTTCCAACTCTTTGATTCTATGATTCTATGAAGTTTCATAGACAGGCATGTTCCTTTTATATACATCCATAGCTTAGACACGTTGCTTTTAAATTTTATATAAATCATCCATTTTACAAGATACACAAACTTATCACTCATTGAGTCCTCCTAGAGGTGAGAAAAGCGGTATGAAAATGCAATAAATAAATAAATAAATGGTGTAATAGCATTATTTTCCAATTTAACTGTCATGGAAAATCCTATGAAATTCTGGAAGTTTTAATTTAGTACAGGCCTGCACAACACACAGTCCACACTGAGTGCCATCTCCCCCCCCCCCCCGTTCCAAAAAAAAAGAAGAAGAAGGGGGGGGGATGAAAGGAAGGTAAGGAAGGCAGGCAGGCAGGCAGGCAGGCAGGAAGGAAGGAAGGGGGAAATGTAATTAAGAAGGGGAAGGAGAATATGAAGGGAGGGAGATAGGGGAAATAAACAAATCAAGGACCTCAGCATACAGATGAACCCCCCCCCCCCCCCCCTCTCATTTTCTTCTGTATTGCTGGGATTTTTGCCCCACTTTTAAATTCTGCATTATATCAAAGAATCATCTTGAGAGTCATTGGGAAACATTACTGGATGGTGACAAACAGAAGTCATGTTCTCAACTGGTCTTTTACAAATACAGTTGAAGTCAATGGGAACTTTTGGAGGGTCGACTCCAAGGGGTGAGGACCCTTAGTTCCCACCAAAGAGGGAACGCTACTTTGGCGAGCCTTCAGAGAAGCCTGATTCCAGCAATTTTATTAATATTAAAAATTGAAATGAGACTCTTGCCAAAGCGAAGAAGAGGCATCGAGGTTTAATGAGCGATTCAGCTGAAGTGGATGCGATGCAGTGATAGCTCACATGCAAGGCATACCAGTACAGAGATCAGAGATATTTTTATAGGAATTTCCAGGTTTGAAAGTTCCAAAACTTCCGCCCTCTGCCCTCCGCCTGGCTTGCAGGTGATTGGCTGATGGGATTCCAGCTGGGAGGAGGCGCAGCCGCCCTCCCTGCGTCAGGGCCAATCACAGAGCTCCTCCGCTGCACAGGAGCCAATGGGAGAGATTTCCCTGCTTCAGCGCCTTGACAAATCAGGAGGAGGGAGGCGGGATGAAAACAGAAACAATGAGCCGGCAAATGAATCAATGGGTGCGATGCCCAGTCTATTGTCCTTGAGTGGAGTTGCGATGATCCTTGATTACTTTCATCCTGGCCTTCCTGCCACAATCAGATAAGGCACAAAAGGGGAGGCTGGGGAAATGTCCGGTTTTGAATGAAGTAAACAAAATTGGGAAGGTGGCCCCCTGAGGGGCGTCTCGCTCCTATTGTGAAATGGCCAAAAGTCTGCAGAAGGAGATTCCAGCCTGATGGCCTCAATCCTGGAGCCACATAGGGATTCCAGGTCTTATTGTCCTTGCCAGAGTTCTGGGATATGAGTTTCTTTTGTTGCCCCTGATTGCCCTTTCAACAGCTGGCCGCTTCCTGGATTGATTTACCCAAAGGGAGGGGGAAGGAGTGATAGGTTTGGGTGTCAGGGCAAGAATAAGGAAAATACATGAGGGAATACAGAAATCCACAGAAATTCATATCAAATACCTCCTTCCTCATCCCACCCTGCCAAAGAAATTTAATAAAGAAATTATTTTCAAGCAATATGAGTCCATAGTTCATTTTGAGGGAAGTTCATGAGCGGGAAAGATGTCCTTGCGAGTCCAAAACATTAGGCAGAGCTCTTAAAGCCCCAAAAGGAAAGTCTGTTGGTTTCCCACTGAGCCATTGGGTGGAATTCTGCCACGCTGGGATCGAAGCTGGTCCTTGGGAAACTACAACTCTCATGAAGGGCAGAAGTCCCAAGATCCAGCCGTTCCCCAAAAGCCTCGTGGGGTCCTTGTTGTTGTTAGTGCCTTGGCAATGTGACCAAGACTTAACCCCTACTGTGCAGTCTGGTGCCCTTGCCCTTTGCAGAACTATAAGTCACTATCCCTTATTTGGGGGGGGGGGGGGGTGCTTGACTTCACAGTCACATAGACTCACACAGTTGCCCATCCCTGTTTTAATGTCCTTTGTCAGAAATATTAAAAATTAACTAGGTATTTTTAATTACAAAAATGTGAGTCAAGCACTGAAAGGGTGAAATGGATGCAATGACTCAGCAAAAGCTTCGGCTCTATATAAGCGGGTGTGCCTGTAGCTTAGTAAGCCTCAGTATATGAGTAGGACTCAATGGGAGAAAGGTTTCAGTCTGTGAGAAGGCCTCAAAGTATGAGAAAGCCTGGTGTGAGAAGCTTTGGTGAGAGGAAGGAGTTGAAGGCCCCATGTGTAAAGCTCCAGTGTGTGGGTTGAACTTTATTTGTGTCATGGAAACCTTGTTCTTGTAAATAGTGCAACTATATTATTTTGCTATAAAGAAAAGCCTCCCATGGAAGAGAGAGCACTGGTCTGTGTGTTTTTGTTCCTTTTATCACTTTTAGCTACTGGTGCTGGGTCACACTGCTGCTAATAAGTTACTCTGCTGTGCATTTATGAGGAGGGTCTTTTGTTATTAAGCCCACTCACCAAACATTCCTCTCTATAGGGAGAATGTCCTTACTATCCTGGTTGGAGATGATAGGGACTTTCCTCATGCTTCACCACAGCTTTGTGTCATGTCATGCTCCAGTGAAGAAATCAAGCCTAATTCCTCTTCACTACTGACCAAATAGTCAGTAGTTCTGTTCTTGAGGTGGAAGGAAACTCTTTAATCAAAGGCAATTTCAGGTCAGCGTCTTTCCCCATTGGTTCAGGGTCAGCCTGCAGAATATATTTTTGCCTGAGAAGATGAGGCAGTTGTGACATTCAGAATACAGTTGTGACATGCAGAATACATTTTTGCCTGAGAAGATGAGGCAGTTGTGACATTTGACAATATATTCAGAATGTCATCTGACATATATCCATGAAAAACCTTGGGAAAATCATACTGTCTCAGTCCTATATGAAGACAATGCCAAATCTTCTGCAAATCAATTCTGCCCAGAAACTGCTAGAATATCATCATCATAAATCACACTGTGCAGGCAGAGCAACAACAGCAACTAGACTTTTAAACTGCAGTATTTCGTTGTCCTGGTAACTTAGTATCCTAGTTTTCCCAATAACTGCTCCAACATATGAAAGGTTGAAAGAAAAGAATAAATTATTTATACATACACATGATATTAGAGCATGATGTATTTTGAACTGGATTACAACTCTTAACTCACCTCTCACAGTTGTGATCAACAACTGCTTCCACATACAACCTATTGGTGTAGTATGTAAATGATTCTTGTATATATGATTAATTTTTCTCCTACACCAAAAGTACCTTCATTTTTCACCCCTATTGTGAGATCCTTAGGAAATTCCTTGATATGTATGACATTGTATATTTTCTGTAACAACAGGGTTCTGCCTAATGTTCTGGAAGGGTTGAGCTGTTTCACAATAAAACAAAAATAAATGTGAACCTGTATCTCTTCTATTTCTCCAGAGGTTCGACTAGCGAATGGCTCTAGTGACTGTTCTGGAAGAGTCGAAGTATTTCACAATGAAAGATGGGGAACTGTTTGTGATGCTGGCTGGGATCTACAGGATGCCCAAGTTGTGTGCGGAGAACTTGGCTGTGGGAAAGCCTTTACCGCATCTGGTGGAGCACATTTTGGAAGAGGGACTGGTCCCATCTGGCTAGGAAGATTGAACTGCACCGGAAAAGAAAAATCATTAAGGCAATGCCCCAAAGGACAGTGGGAAGAACACAGCTGTGACCACAGTGCAGATGCCGGTGTGGAATGTGCAGGTAAGCTTGTATCATTATAAGACTGTGAAATGCATAGCTTCAAGTTGCCAAGTTGTTGTTGTTGTTGTTATTTTTCCTTTTTGCTATCATTTTGACTCTAATGATCTTATGAATGAAAAGCCATCAAGTGCTTGGGTCATGAATAGAATCCCTTTGGGAGATAGAGCGGAATATAAATTATTATTATTATTATTATTATTATTATTATTATTATTATGCTGACACAAAAGCACAGTATGTCACAGCAAATGAGATCTATATGCTGGATTTCGTATCACAAATCACAACCTGCAGATATTAGATCGACCCCCTCCTTGCTGGCATTCCGGAGGAACAGGCATTCGACTAAGCAGTGTGATTGATTGACTGATTATCGGAACACAGAATAATGGATAACGAGTTTGGATTCTGATTTAATTGATGAGACCTGATGGATTTGTTGTATTGATGTACTGATGTATTGATGCTGATGTTTAATGATTTGTGATACTACTGCTTTTAAATGCCTAATGATTTTGTATTGTGTATACCTAAACTGTTGTAAACCGCTCTGAGTCGCCTAAGGGCTGAGAAGAGCCGTATACAAATAAAGTAAATAAATAAACTTGAACACTCCCCAAGCATCTAGGACTGTGTGATGTATTTTCGAATGATGCGCGCAGGTGGCCTTTTGCAGTTGACAGAACATGATTTTGTCAATGTTTATGGTTTCCAAATGCCGGCTGAGATCTTTTGGCACGGCACCCAGTGTGCCGATAACCACTGCGAACACCTGGACTGGTTTATGCCAGAGCCTTTGCAGTTCGATTTTGAGGTCCTGATAACGGCTGAGTTTTTCCTGTTGTTTTTCCTCAATGTGGCTGTCACTCGGTATGGCGACATCAATAATCCAAACCGGGTTGTTTTAGGTTTTTTTGGGCTATGTGGCCATATAGCCCGAAAAAACCTAAAACAACCCAGTGATTCCGGCCATGAAAGCCTTCGACAATACAATAATCCAGACTTTTTTCTTTTCCACAATCGTGATGTCTGGTGTATTGTGTTCCAAAACTTTGTCAGTCTGGATTCGAAACTCCCACAGTATTTTTGCATGTTCATTTTCCATGACCTTTGTAGGTTTAGGATCCCACCAATTCTTGGTATTCTTATTATTGTCCTACTTATGTCTTGTATACCGAAGTTTACAGTTTCCTTGATCGAATAAATTCACCTGTAGAGGTCTTCTTTTCCTACTTCATTCCCTTTTTCTGAGCTTATCATCTTTTACAATTAATCACATTGATAGGACCAGTGTCTGTGTTCATTGATGTTGAAGGAAAGTTATTTTTGCATAATCTTGTAGGCAAAATGTTTTAAGAGTGAACAATTAAATAATTGTTATATGTTGTTATATGAAAGGACAAATCAAATAGAGGACAACCTGATTAAGATGCAAATTCATTTTTTTACTAAAAAGACAGAAAAAGACAGCAGCAGTAGTCCAGCCATACACTCTGTGTTCAATACAACCTTTTTCTCAAAGGAAAAGGATTGATGCTAAGAACCCCAACTTTGACAAAGCTAAGGAAGCTATGATGTGTTGTAGCTAAGGTTATAGGGGCTTCAGAATAACACACACAGGGGTTTTCTTACCTGCTAAGTAAAGGAAAGTCCAAGTCAGGCAAGGAAGCTGGTTCTAGATTAATTGGAAAGAAGACTCTGTATCTTTCTTCAGGGACTCTGATTCTGGTAATGTTGCTTTTCTTCAGTGTCCTGAGTAGGTTTGGAATCTGCCTGTGTGCTGAAGCATCTTCTTGAACTTGTAGAAAATCTTTCATCTTTGTTTTGCTTCCCTGCCTATTTTTACCTGGTTCTAATATGGGGCTGTCACCTGCAGTATAGGAAACACCTTCACCCCAGTGACCTAGAAGTACTGACAGAAACATCCTGTGAGGAATTGAAAAAATGCTTTGTGTGCTTAAAGGGATGAATGCAGTGCTTGGGCTTCATGTAGTGAAAAAGGGGTCTGTCTGTAAAAAGGCAGAAGTGGATTGTGAAAATGCAGCAATGTGGGAGTGGAGGCATGAGGAGTGTCTACATTCATTAACAATAAGCAATATATTTAAGCACTCTCTCAAATGTAACAATTTATTTATTTATTTATTTGGTTTACTTTTACCCCGCCCTTCTCACCCCGAAGGGGACTCAGGGCGGCTTACACATCCAAGGCACAATTCGATGCCCGTAACATACAACAGCAATAAAACAGAATAACGCAAATTAGCAAACAACAACAATACATTACATCTATACCCGCTAAAACCAATAAAATTTCATACAAACCGATACAAACCAATTACTCCTTATTGCCGGTCARTGTTCGCTATCTCATAGTTCAGRGTTTCCTTCCACATTTATCAGTCCTGCCGGTCCTATTTGTCTGGTTGTCCTTCCTAGTTAGCAGATTGCCCGAAGGCCTGGTCCCACAACCACGTCTTTACCTTCCTCCTAAAGGACAGGAGTGATGTCGATGCCCTGATATCCACTGGGAGTGAGTTCCACAGGTGGGGGGCCACCACTGAGAAGGCCCTGCTCCTCGTCCCCACCAGCCTTGCTTGGGAAAGCGGTGGAGTCGAGAGCAGGGCCCCCTCAGATGATCTTAAATTCCGTGGTGGGACATAGAGGGAGATACGTTCGGACAGATACGCTGGACCCATTTCCTTTTCAGCAGGAGAGAGRRGGTTTTGAAGGAAAATTCCAGATTGTACTTTTTTAWAAATATTTTAAATAATTTAAAAAGAAAAACACACAAAGAAAACCAGCAAGACAYACAGACCAGTTAGATATGATCTCACTAACATTCCTAGCGAATATGCAGTGGAGGTGAAGAATAGATTTAAGGGCCTAGATTTAATAAATAGAGTCCTGARCCGTCCCAGACTAGGGTGWCCCAGCATGGATGTTGAAGTTCCCCAGCATAATGAATCACTGGGACTCTAATGCCAGGCCAGAGACCACCCCCGCTAGCTCAAGTATGGAGAGCTGGTGCAGCAAGGTAGGCAGTACACAAGCAGAATCCCTAGTCTGTCCTAGTTAATGACTTTCAGATAGATACACTCAAAGTTACGTGATTGCAGCATGATGTACCTGATCATAAAGATGGACTCACGGTAGAGTACCTGTCAGGTTTTACAATGTATTGTAATGTAATGTAATGTGGTCTTCCAGTGTTAATGATACCCTATACAATTTGGGGGGGGGGAGCCAGATTTAAAGTATCTTCATGTGTTTGGTAGTTTTGTACATGTGCTTGTGCCAGTGCAACAGCATGCCAAGAGGAGTCAAGCTTGGCAGAAAATGAGGTTTTTAGGGTATGAAGCTTTTACCAAGGGGTACCGGTTTTTGGGTTCTGACAGAAGAGTGGTTGTTTCAAGGAGTATGAAATTTGATGTGCACTCAGGATGGGATAGGATTCATGCGAATGAAGAAGTGTTTTTGCCCATGCGGCATCAGTTGGCCACAAACATGGAGAGTGTAAAAAGAGAGTTGGTAGATGAAGAGGATCCATTGGAAGGTGGCAGTGATGTTTCTGAACAGATTAGTAAGAGAAAAAGGCATGAAAAAGAGGAAAGTTCTTCCAGTGAGGAAGATGAGTCTTTAGATAAAAGGAAGGTTGTAAAAAAAAGAGGACGCTATGCCAGTGGTTAGGTGAAGTGAGAGAAAGAATAAGGGAGTACCGCCTAAAAAGTTTCAGGTTGGTCAGGTATCAGGACAGTGGAGTGAACCTCTAAGTTATGCTGAAGTTTTGGAAAGGTCTCCAAATGAGCAAGAGTTGTGGAAAATAGCAATGAAGAAGGAGTTCAATTCGTTAAAGAGACTTAACGTGATGTCAGTGGTGGAGCCACTGAAAGACAGCAATGTGATTGGCTGTAGGTGGGTTTTTCATAGAAAGGTAGGGGAAGATGGTAGTTTTGTTTACAAGGCTAGACTTGTTGCAAAGGGTTTTCAACAAAAGTTGTTTGAAGATTATGATGAAGTGTTTGCTCCTACGGTCAAGTATGAAACACTCAGATTGGTTTTGTCAGTGGCCTGTGCCAAACAGTTGGTGGTAAGACATTTTGATGTTGAAACAGCATATCTAAATGCGAACTTGGATGAGACAGTGTTTATGTCAAAAGTTCCTGTTTTTGAGAATGATTCTCCTACTGGTACATACAGATTGAACAAAGCTTTATACGGGTTAAAGAAGTCAGCCAGAAACTGGAACCATCATTTGCATGGTTTATTGTGTGGTTTAGGTTTTGTAAGAAGTTCTCAAGATGCGTGCTTCTATACACGTGGTTCTGGTAAGGAACAGGTGTTATTGGTTGTGTTCGTAGACGATGTACTTGTGTTAGCACAGAATCACGATGTTGTTGGCGAAGTTCATAAAAGTCTGAGTAAAAAGTTGTGAATCAAAGATTTAGGGAATGTCAGCAAATATTTGGGCTTAAGTGTAATCAGGACTGAGCACGGAATTTTGCTAAGTCAGTGTGATAAAATACGCAAGTTGTTGGAGAAGACTAGTTTGTCTGATGCTAAATGTGCCGCTACACCAATGGCAGTGGAGTTTTTAAAACAAGTTACTGGTGAGAAATTTAAGCTTCCTGAGTTATATAGGTCTGTCGTAGGGAGTCTCCAGTACATTGCTGGATTGACTAGGCCTGATATTTCTTATGCTGTGTCAGTTTTGAGTAAAAGAGTTCAAAGTCCAAGTTACACAGATTGGAATGGTTTGAAGAGGGTGTTGAGGTATTTGAAAGGATCGATCAATAAGGTGTTTGAGGTGAAGCTTTTTAACAGGTGTGTTATGTCAGTTTATAGTGACAGCAGTTTTGCTGATGTAGAAAATCACAAATCTGTGAGTGGTTTTGTGATTAAGATTGTCTTTTGAGTTGGAAGTCTAGGAAACAAGTGTTTGTTTGTTTGTCAACTTCAGGGATTTCTGGTAGACACTGATTATCTAGATCCGGCACAGTCTGGCTTTAGACCGGGACATGAAACGGAAACAGCCTTGGTCGCCTTGGTAGATGATCTTCGCCGGGAGTTGGACAGGGGGAGTGTGTCCCTGTTAGTTCTGCTGGACCTCTCAGTGGCCTTCGATACCGTCGATCATGGTATCCTTCTGGGACGCCTCATAGATATGGGACTTGGGGGTACTGCTTTGCAGTGGCTCCAGTTCTTTCTTGAGGGATGGTCCCAGAAGGTGTTACTGGGTGACACCTGTTCGGCCCCACAGCCGTTGTCGTGTGGAACCTCAGGGTTCAATTCTGTCCCCAATGTTGTTTAACATCTACATGAAGCCGCTGGGGGAGATCATTCGGAGTTTCGGACTGAGGTGTTATCTCTACGCAGATGATGTCCAGATCTGTCACTCTTTCTCACCTGTCACCAAGGAGGCTGTCCAGACCTTGAATCGGTGTCTAGCTGCTGTGTCGGACTGGATGAGAGCTAACAAATTGAAACTGAATCCAGACAAGACAGAGGTCCTACTGGTCAGGGCATAGGGTTACAGCCTGTGTTGGACGGGGTTACACTCCCCCTGAAGACGCAGGTTCGCAGCTTGGGAGTGATCCTGGACTCATCGCTGAGCCTGGAACCCCAGGTCTCGGCGGTGGCCGGGAGAGCTTTTGCGCAATTAAAACTTGTGCACCAGTTGCGCCCATACCTTGGGAAGTCTGATCTGGCCACAGTGGTCCACGCTCTTGTTACATCTCGAATAGACTACTGCAACGCACTCTACGTGGGGTTGCCCTTGAAGACTGTTCGGAAACTTCAACTGGTCCAGCGAGCGGCAGCCAGATTGCTCACCGGAGCGACATACAGGGAGCATACCACCCCCCTGTTGTGTCAGCTCCACTGGCTGCTGATTCAGTTCCGAGCACAATTCAAGGTGCTGGTTTTGACCTACAAAACCCTTTACGGTTCCGGTCCAGCGTATCTGTCCGAACGTATCTCCCTCTACGTCCCACCCCGGAATTTGAGATCATCTGGGGAGGCCCTGCTCTCGACCCCACCGCTATCACAAGTGAGGCTGGTGGGGACGAGGAGCAGGGCCTTCTCAGTGGTGGCCCCTCACCTGTGGAACTCACTCTTGGGGGAAATCAGGACATCAACATCCCTCCTCTTCTTCAGGAGGAAGGTAAAGACGTGGTTGTGGGACCAGGCCTTTGGGCAATCTGACAACTAGTTATGGACAACCAGATGGATAGGACTGAAAGGACTGACAATTGTGGAATTGGAATTTGAACTATGAGATTGCGAAATGCTGACCGTCAATGAGGAGAAATGGTTTGTATTGGTTTTATTGCTTTTATTGGTTTTATGGTTGTTTTTGCCTTGCAAGAATTGTTGTTTCTGTTAATTGATGTTATTGCTAGAATTGCTGTTTTCTGTTAATGGATATTATTTTGTCTTATTGTTATGTGATGCGGGCATCAAATTGTGCCTTGCTTTTGTAAGCTGCCCTGAGTCCACTTCGGGGTGAGAACGGCGGGGTAGAATGGAAATCTAGGAAACAAGTGGTTGTTTGTTTGTCAACTTCTGAGGCAGAGTTTGCCAGTTTGACAGAAGCATGTAAGGAGATGTTGTGGGTCAAGAAGTTAGTTGAAGATGCTGGTATTAGGTTGGAAGATAAAGTTCAAGTTTTTGTAGATTCACAAACGTGTATAGAATTAGCAAAGATGGAGTGTCTGAAAGCTAGGTCTAGATATGTTGGTGTTAGGCATGCGTATGTAAGAGAGTTAGTTAGCGAAGGTGAGGTGTGTCTAAACTATGTAAGAAGTGAGGAAAATTTTGCAGATGTGTTGACAAAAGCTTTAGGTGAAGAAAAGTTTCTAAGGTCTTCAGATATGTTGAGTTTAGTCAGTGCATGAGGAGGGGTGTCAGGTTTTACAATGTATTGTAATGTAATAAACTGAGTCATGCACTGCTAATAGGCTTCTATTGGGAATGCTGAGTCATACATTGATTGTATATGGGGAATCATTTGGGGAATGTGTTCTGGCCTACTCCAGGTGATTGTGAATGATGCAATCCTGGGTTTGAGTTGAGTCAATTAGTTGGTAACCAATCAGAGATTGCTATGTGTAAATGAATTGTATATAAGGAAACCATGTACAGTGTATATTTCTCCTTGTGTTGTGATGTTGTTTTGTCGAAGGCTATATGTAATTAAAGAACCTGTCTACTAGGACAAGATATAACTGTGTGCTGTGGTGAGTCTGTAATATCATCTAGACTGGGGGAAAGACAATGGTAAAACTGACAATGGCCGGGCATGTGCTCAAGTGTTTGTAAAAGGTTCCAGCGTGGCTGCAGGCTGTGGGAGCAGTTGACTGAAAAGACTGTGCAGGAAGAAGCTACTGGAAAGTGCTGAAGTTGTGCAACTGATCTGCTGCTGAATTGTGAAATTAATCTCAACAGTACGCAACCCTGCCTCCTGGGTTTTGCCTACTGCTGCATCCCAAAACCCAGAGGACAAAGCTGGCTGAGGTTGACCACCCCCCCCCCCCCCCCCACACACACACACAGTTCATCCAACCATTTCTCAGTGATGCAAGCTAGGTCTGCACGGTCACTCATGATTAGATCCTAGATGGCCGCTGCTTTACCATTTACAGACCTAGCATTTACCAACAAGACTTTGAGCTCCATTTTGGCTATCTGATCTATTTTGCCTCAGGGTTGCAAAAACCCTGTTGCACTTCTCCCTGGGATGGCCTTGTTGGCTACACCTCCTCCTCCCCAGCACGATCTCAATAGTGGCACCCCAGCTCCAGGATTCTTCTCCCTCAGGGGTACCCATGGTGTTCTCTAAGGGAGAGGGGGCAGGACCAAGTTGGGATACTAGTCAATCACTAGAGGCTTTTGGAGGGAGCAAGGTCCTAAAAATTATCCAGAACCACATCAAAGGAACTGTTGGAGCTTCCTGAAAAAAGTTCTGGGGACAACTTTTTGTGTGTCTGGGGATGGTGCTAGTTTAGATATATTTTCTGATCTTTGGGATGGTGGTGATTGGTAACTGATTTAATTCTGGTTTCCTTATCTGAGGTTGTATGGGGCTGTTGAATGACTGTTTATTTGGAGATCTACATAAAAATACAGCTATGATAGGGTGGAAAGCTGTGTCAAAAACTCTTCTGATTATAATTCCCTGATTGAATAGGGTGGGCCTGAGCAGGAACAATTTCTTTGTTATGAAGGAATCTCCAAATTTAAGCTGAAGGTGGGTACTACAGCCATCCCTCTGGAGCTATTTTATCAATGGGATATTAATATCCTTGGGGTTCCTAAGAATGGAAGTAAGAAAGAGAGAAAACTGTGTTTCAGAAGGATAGAAGAGGACCTGAATAAAAATATACATGAATTGGTTTTCTTTGCATTGGCAGAATTTTTAGAAAGTGACCAAGATTCTGAGAAAGAACTGAATCAAATCTTTCATGTAAATTCCTTTCAGAAAAACTGAGATAAATCATCTGCTTTTATATCAGTCCCTTTGACCTTCACAAGAACTTGTCTTGAAGGCAGGAAGATTCAGACAGACACCATAAATTTAGATTTTAACAAATCGGCTCTTCTACTTTGGTAACAGAAGTATTTACATTGTAGTATCTCAGTCAAGTCATGACAGGAAATGACAGAAGCAGAAATTTGGAATTGCCCATTAGAGTTATCCAATCCAACACTATTCTACCATGCAGGAATACACAATCAAAGCACTCATGATAGATGGTCATCCAAATTATGTTTAAAATCCTTTAGAGAGGAGAGGAGAATGTTTAATAAGATATTTCCAGGATGGAATAGCACTAAAATAGTGCAGCACAGTTCCGGAATGATATTGACAAGCTAGAATTCACAATTAAAATGGTAAAGGTCTGGAAGCTAAGCCCTATGAGGAATAACTTAGGGAGTTGGACATGTTTAATCTGGAAAGAGAAGGTGAGGAGATGACATGAAAGCCATGTTTAAATCTTGAAAGGTCCATTTTCAGATCATCTATGCCCATTCAAATGAGGTTGATTTGTAGACTTCTCTCTCCATCTCACTTGTTTTGCACCAGAATTCAGAGCACAGTGTGCTAGTTACAGGTGCCATGGGAGTATTTTGAGAAGGTTCCAATGATGGGAAACTGCTTTTCGGGAGGCACCTTTTTATTCATTTCTTTCCTAAGAGATGCAATGGATAATTTTTCTTCCCACTACAAATGTGCTTGACAGAATTGTGTAGTTTATTCACTACTCAGGACATGTTCTGCATAAATTCTACACTAACATTTTGCTCAGAAAACTTGCAGCTTTTGCATAGAAAGTAATATTTCTGCGTTGAAAATCCTGTTCGCACAGGATTCTCCTCATCTTGGGTTCCTGGAGCTCAATGAATATGTTTTTCAACCATTTTGAGGTAAAAAAATGTAAATATGATTTCTATCCCCCCAGTGGTTGAGAAGGGCGGGGTAAAAATGCCCAAAATAAATAAATATCCCTGCTGGCACCAGAAAATTCTAATAATTGTTGTTGTTTTTTCTCTTTCTCAGAGATCAGATTGTCTGGTAGCCATGAGAGCTGCGCTGGGAGAGTTGAGATCCTCCACATGGGCCAGTGGATGACAGTAAGGGACAATGACTGGGATATAGAAGATGCCAGAGTAGTATGCAGGTATCTTGGCTGTGGAACTGCTCTGTCGACATCTCATTATTTTCTTTCTGGAGAGAATACTGCTTCCATCTGGCTGGATAGTTTTAACTGTACTGGGACAGAGCTCTCCCTCAGGGAATGCAAAGCAAAAGAATGGCAGGACGATCCACAAGAAAAATATTTTTCCTATGGAGTGGCTGGTGTCGTATGCACAGGTAGGTCATGTTAAGCAAATTTCAATCTGAAGCCAGGGGTGTAAGAAATTCTTATTCATGTCTTCTATACTATTAAAGTGAGATAGTGAATAAAAACTAGTAAGAGGTACGATTGGTGGGGATGAGAGACAGGCCTTATTTATTTATTTTATTTATTTAGCAGTTTTGTATACCGGTCTTCTCACCTCCATTTGAGGGACTCAGGCCGGTTTCCAACATCAATATTACAGACAGTCATTAAAACATCATATTCTAAATCACACTAAAACATTAAAATAGCAAAATACAGTCATATGATTACAGTGGTCAGTCGTCATCAAAAATCATTATTCGTCGTCATCCATCCATATCACAGGATCATGGCTCATTCGTCGAATGCCAATCCCCAAAGCCAAGTTTTCACCTGTTTCCTGAACGTTAAGATAGAAGGGGCAGTTCTGATCTCCAGTGGAAGGGAGTTCCAGAGTCGAGGGGCCACCACTGAGAAGGCCCTGTCTCTCGTCCCCACCAGCCGCGCCTGTGAGGCCGGTGGGATCGAGAGCAGGGCCCCTCCAGACGATCTTAGCAATCTTGATGGCTCATAGGGGAGGATACGTTCGGACAGGTAAATTGGGCCGGAGTCGTTTAGGGCTTTATAGGTTAAGACCAGCACTTTGAATTGTGCTTGGAAGCTGACTGGCAGCCAGTGGAGCTGGCGCAACAGAGGAGTAGTATGCGTGGAGTTGACACAGCAGGGGGGTGGTATGCTCCCTGTATGATGCTCCGGTGAGTAATCTAGCTGCCGCCCGTTGGACTAATTGAAGTTTCCGAACAGTCTTCAAAGGCAACCCCACGTAGAGTGCGTTGCAGTAATCTATTCGGGATGTAACAAGAGCGTGGACCACTGTGGCCAGATCAGACTTCCCAAGGTACGGGCGCAGCTGGCGCACAAGTTTTAATTGTGCAAAAGCTCTCCCGGCCACCGCCGAGACCTGGGGTTCCAGGCTCAGCGATGAGTCCAGGATCACTCCTAAGCTGCGAACCTGCGTCTCCAGGGGGAGTGTAACCCCATTCAACACAGGCTGTAACCCTATGCCCTGTTCGGCCTTGCCACTGACCAGTAGGGCCTCTGTCTTGTCTGGATTCAGTTTCAATTTGTTAGCTCTCATCCAGTCCGACACAGCGGCCAAGCACCGGTTCAGGACCTGGACAGCCTCCTTAGTAGTAGGTGGAAAGGAGTGACAGAGCTGGACATCATCTGCGTACAGATAACACCTCACCCCGAAACTCCGGATGATCTCTCCCAACGGCTTCATGTAGATGTTAAATAACATGGGGGACAATATTGAGCCCTGCGGGACTCCAAAGAAAAAAAGGGGGATAAAAGCAGTACATATGGCCGGTGGGGTCGAGCAGGAGTCCCCTAGCAACACCTTCTGGGATCGCCCCATGAGAAAAGACTGGAGCCACTGCAAAGCAGTACCCCCAAGGCCCATTCCCGTGAGGCGTCCCAGAAGGATACCGTGGTCGACGGTATTGAAGGCCGATGAGAGGTCCAGCAGAACCAACAGGGACAACTCCCCCTGTCCAGTTCCCGGCGAAGATCATCCACTAAGGCGACCAAGGCTGTCTCCGTACCATGCCCCGGCCTAAAGCCAGACTGCACCGGATCTAGATAATCCGTGTCTACCAGGAACTCCTGGAGTTGTGAGGCCACCACACGTTCCAGGACTTTGCCCAAAAGGGAAGATTGGAAACGGGCCGATAGTTGTCGAATTGAGTGGGGTCCAGTGATGGTTTTTTCAACAGCGGTTTTATAACAGCTTGTTCTAAGTTCACTGGAATGTTGCCTTCCCAAAGGGAGGCATTAACCACCACCTTAACCCGCTCTGCCAAACCCCCTCTGGCTTCCTTTACCAGCCAGGATGGGCAGGGGTCTAGGATGCATGTGGTAGGCCTCGCCTCCCCAAGAATCCTGATGACATCCTCGAGTTGAACAGATCGAAATGAATCCATCAAAACTGGACAAGCAGATGCTTGTGTTACATCCTCAGAGACTGCCGTTAACGTGGTGTCAAAGCCCAAACGGATCAAAACGGCTTTGTCCGCAAAGTACTGAGCAAAGGCTTCACAGCGAGCTGCCGAGTCGTCAGGGGACTCATCCTAAGAGGTGGGATTCAACAGCCCTCTGACTACTCGAAACAGCTCAGCCGGACGGTTCCTTGCAGACGCAATATTGGCCAAGTAGAAGGAGTTTTGAGCAGCCTCTATTGCCACGCCATACGCCCTTAAATAAAGGTGCAGGTGTGTTCGGTTTGACTCGCTAGGTTCTTTCCACCACACGCTCTCTACCCACCTCTTTGTTTGCTTCATCTCCACCAACTCCTCGTTAAACCAAGAAGATGGTTTAGTTCGGTGACTTAAGAGGGGACGCTCCGGAGCAATCATGTCTATTGCCCTGGTCAACTCTTTATTCCAATAAGAGACCAGAGCATCGACAGAATCACCAACTGAGGCAACGGAAAACTCCCCAAGAGCCATCAGAAGTCCCTCTGGATCCATAAGCCTCCTGGGACAGACCATCT